AGCAGAGGCCTGATGAGCTCCACGTGGCAGATGCATACTGCCGATGAGCAGGAAGAGGTCAAATTGATTAGCAGGAACCAAGCAGCCAACCTGCAGTCCACTGTGTTCTTTTCGCTTCAACCTGGCGCCTGTAGCTGAATGTTCTACGTCCTCTTGGCGCCTGCATGCATCCTAACTTCTTGTAGCCAGCTGTTCCACTGAGAAGATCCTCCGTCATACTCAAGCATAGAATGAACCTGAGAAATATCGGCCAGAAACATAGGTTCGCCTTCCTCCCTTCTCGAAGGGGAAGCCGAACCTAGACCTCTATAGCTGTTTCTGTGGGTCGCGATATACAGCGTCCCCCAATAGTCCAAACGTTGTGTCCTCTAGTTTTGTTCTTCTACAAAACATAACGCATAGTCACGTAACCTCTTCCTCAGGGCAGCCTAGGGAACAGATGAACCCCACCGTTTAAATTAATGCCAATACTCCTGTGCTGTACGGCAAATCCATCACATCATTTTGTCTTCAAAAGCACGTTAGGCCTAACACTCTGCCAAAGGCGCTCATCTGGAGATCAACTCCATGGAAGTTGTTGTACATTCGCATGCACAGTGCAGCATGTAACGAAGGTCCTTCGCATCCGCCAAGATCCTCCTGCAATGCCGTGTAGAAATAACATACAATGCTCTCCCCGAATCAACTGGTCTCAAAGCTATAAGCATTTTGGCCAGGGCTGTGCTCAACGGGGTTGTCTGAGTTGCAGCACTTCCCCTTCACCAAAACAACCTTCTCTTCCTTTGGTAGTACGTTCACTAGTTAGGACGCCTTTGGCTGCCTGAATATGCTAGACACTTGACTTAGTCCTGATGGCTTTGGTCTCACAGTGAGCGAGCTCGTAAAGTAGCGTTTAGTCAAAGTCGAGGTTGTTGCTCAACGTCAGCAGATTAGGGTAGAGGAGACAAGAAGGTAGGTTTGTGAAGAGGTAGATCTGTTGATGGGAGTGCGTGAGAGCACCTTGCTTGTAACGGCAAGCTGCAAGGGATGTCATGGGGATAGCAGTTTAGGGTGAACCGTTCTTCCGGTTGAAGGTGTGGTTTAGCTTGGTAGTATGGCAATGTGCATCGTTGGCCACCTTTGTCAGTTCTTAGTTGTTAACTGATGGAGGAGGAAGGTATGACTGGGAGTCAGTGTAATGGCCTCCTCCCCCTACCCTCCCTATACCGAACTACCTCACAAGATGC